ATCAAAGAGTAAGATGTCATCAATTTCTGCTTCAGGTTCCTCGATCTCATTGGTGTTTTCTTCTTGTAATAGTGGTTCTTCTCCAGCGATTATACGTCCTCGAGGTGTAACTTTGATAATAGCTAACCAGTTTATTCCCGAGGTAGTAATCCGAGGGTATGGAATAAAGCAAACTTTATCTGTTTGGGAAGCTAATATGAAAGGCTCGAACTTGTTGTACCTACAAAAATAAAGACAACGTAAAAAATAATTAATACTCGAAACCTGGATATAAAAAAAAAGAATTTGTTGTACCTTCGTCCACCATTGACATCAACTACACTGTTTTTGTTAATTCGAACACCTCTGTTGACGACGGGGTCGTACCACTCACACTTGAAGATAACGCATTTCAAACTCATACCTAAGAATTTAACTTCATAAATCTCCTAGAAGATCCCGTAGAAATCTGTTTCGCCTTTCACACATATTCCATAATTAATTGTCGCCCGGTGTCTACCATAGTCACAGGTATGTAAAGTATAGCCTCGGGTGAAATACATCGATGATGCAGTGACCTTTACAACTGGACCTTGAAGTAATTCGCGAAACCATGCGGGATACTCAGGATCGTCATAATCAACCTACAAAAAAGTAATTAAAGAACTAGACATTAGACTTACTTTGTGGTAATGTATGCATAAAATTTAAGCTATAATAAATACCTATTTGCTCAACCACTTGATAAAGTGTTGATCTTTTCTTTTGTCTAACTTAGTTGTTGATATACCAGGTATTGCTTCTTCGACTTGAGTCACAAATTGGCTGTAAAATCATATATGTTACGATATTTAATATTGGAAAAATATATATATATATATGTGTGTATGTTTATATATTTACCTTTTAAAATAACCAATCAATGGATGCTCGCAATTAAGAAGAATATAAAGATGTGCACTATGGACGTCTTCATCACTCGACCAACAAACCTCTTTCAATTTCCCACCCAATCGCTCAATTTGACAAAAGATGTCTGGAACATCGTCTTCCATATATGTCGGCACGACACCACCATCATCATATCTTCTTGGAGCTCGTTTCCTTGTATGTAATTTCGGTGCAAAGTAGTACGATGTGAAATGTGAAATGTGATGTTTCTTCCGTCAAACTTCCCGCAACAATAGAACCTTCAACTCTTGCTAGGTTTTTGACTTTTCCTTTCAAAGTTTTCATGGCCCTTTCATACTGATACATCCATCCATAATGCACTGGTTCACGAAGTAATGCCTCATACGGGAGGTGGACAACTAGGTGTTCCATGAAGTCGAAAAGAGTAGGCGAAAATATTTTCCCCAAGTTGCAGATTAAGACGGAGATGTTTTCATGAAGTTGTTGGACAACTTCCACTTTAAGAGTGCGGGTGCTCAGATCCCTAAAAAATGCTCCAATTCCTTATATATTACAAAAAAAAAATTATCCACATAATATATATATATATATATATATATATATATATAAAGAAACAAATTAATCATATCATCGTATTATATTAATTAATTACCAGATGGTGCTTCATGTACTTTTGCCGGTAGTAGCTCCGCAAATGCAAAGGGAAGTAGTCGCTGCATAAAGACATGACAATCAAGGCTCTTCATCCCGAAGAACTTTTGCCCTTTCTTAACACATCTTGAGAGATTCTAAACATACCCATCAGAGAACTTCACTTCTGAAGCCACCCAGTTGAACAACGCAGACTTTTTCAGATGACAGTCTGAATATTGGAACTGGAACTTGCCCATTTATTTTTATATGTAGCTCACTCCTTGAGCAGATATCCGGTAAGTCCAACCTCGATTTTACGTTGTCTTTTGTCTTCCCCGGGACATTCAATATACTGTTCATAATGTTCTCAAAAAATTTCTTCTCTATATGCATCACATCGAGGTTGTGGCGCAAAAGAAGATATTTCCAATATGGCAATTCCCAAAATATACTCTTTTTGTTCCATTTGTGCTGAACACCATAAGAATCAGGCATATTACTGGGAACATGCCAATTCCCACCACGAGGAGTTGTTTCTAGAGCACCGTAGTAATCGATTTGCGCTTTGATTTATTCTCCAGTTAAATATGGAGGAGTGTCTCTGACAACCCTTTTGTGCCTGAACAATTTCTTGTTTCTTTGGTATGCGTGGTAAACGGAAAGAAATCGACGGTGACAATCGAACCAACTAGTCTTCCTACCATGCTTCAACTGAAACGCATCTGTCATTCCATTACAATATGGACAAGCTAATCTCCCATGTGTAGTCCACCCAGACAACATCCCATATGTAGGAAAGTCACTTATGGTCTACAAAAGCATCGCTCGCATCGTAAAGTTTGTTTTCGTTGAACAATCATATGTCCTCACCCTTGTTGACCACAAATCTTTCAACTCTTTTATCAGTGGTTGTAAAAAAAACGTCGAGAGATCTTTTTGGATATTTTGGACCAGGTATTAATATGGTCATGAATAGAAACACTCGTCGCATGCACATCTCCGGTGGCAGGTTGTCTAGTGTAAGAAAGACCGGCCACAATGAATATTGTCTCCCAGACATTCCAAATGGACTAAATCCATCATTGCATAATCCAAGATACACATTCCGGCTATTGCTAGCGAAATGTGGATGTACATTGTTAAAATGTTTCCAGACTCTTGCATCTAATGGATGAGTCATCTCTCCATCCGTCTGAGCATGCTCGGCGTGCCATCTCATCCCTCCAGCAGTCTCCTCAGGTTGGTACAATCTTTTCAATCTTTCTGTGATTGTTAGGTACCACATCCTTTGGTACGGTACCCTATTATGCCCTCAACCTTGCGGTTTGAATCGTGGTTTCTTACAAAATCGACATTCTTCTAACTTCTCATCATCTCCCCAGTAAATCATGCAGTTGTCGATGCAAACGTCTATCATCTCCAAGGGCAACCCAAGACTATATACCAATTTCTGAATCTGATAATAAGATTCATCAGACACATTGTCTTCTGGCAAATACTCTTTAAACAAGTCTCCCAATGCATCCATACAATTTTCAGGTAGATTGTGATCGGTTTTAATACTCATCATTCTAACAGCCAACGACAATTTAGACAGACCTTCTCTACAACCACTGTAAATTGGCTCATTTGCAGCTTCTAACATTTCATAAAACTTTTTTTGCATCTAAGTTAGGTTCTTCAACTTCATCATCATCATGAGTTACAAATGCATCACCTACCATATCATGAACCCTATCACAATCTACCATTTGTTCCTCTTGGTGATGATAGCTATTTTCATTACGCAAATGATCAACCGGTTCAACCTGAAATTGCTATTACTACTGCTACCTTCATTCCTACAACTAGCATCTTCTCCATGTTGATATCAAATATAATAATATGGCATGAAACCTCTATTTATAAAATGCTTCCAAACATTTTCATGAGGGCCTAATTTTGTATTGTAGCATGCCCGACAAGGACATAACATCTTACCACTTTCCTGCGTGAGTGGTGTAGAATCTGCTTGATGCATAAACGTCTCCAACCCTTCGAGATGTTCTTTCACTCTCCTGTTATTATCTCTGTGTGAATACATCCACTTCCGCAACTCGAAAATATTTCACGGACCAGACATTTTTTTATCTTTGATCAAGCTTAAAGCTGATTTTTTTTTGGTGTGTTTGAAATGAATCACAAATGGTGGTACTTATAGAAATTTTTGAATCTGAGCATTTACTAGGAAATTGTTAGGAAAAGTAGGTACAAAACACGTTTTAGATTTAAATTAGATATTTTATATCAAGTGCCTTGCTAATTTGAAGTAAAAGATTATTTCCTCCTAATTTCGTAGTAAAGATTTACTAGAACTTTACGAGGAAAGCATTTATTACGAGCTTACGAGGAAATGGTATTTTTCCATGTAGTTTCCTCGTAATTTTACTACGGTCTTACGATAAAAACGTTTTCTCAAGTTTCCTCGTAAAACCGAAGTAAGTTCATAGTAAATTTACGAGGAATTATTTTCCTAGTAAATTTTTAGTTTTCTTATAGTGCATTGTTTATGACTAAAGTAAAAAATTAATGTGTAAAATAGTTATGGCACAAGTATATGTTTATCCAACAACACAAATTCAATTAATTATCAAAAGTTCTAAACTAGAATTTGAATAAATATAATCACAAACATATAAACTGTATTTTTAAAAATATTAGAAAATACATAAAATTTTCTATTTACAGAAAAATTTAGAAAAAAATAAAAGAAAAATACCCATGCTAAAGTGAACTTTTAATAGAAATAAATATTGATATAAATTCATTTATTTTATCGGTTTTGAATAGGTTATTCGATCATAAAATATTTTTTAGATGTGAATTTATTTAAAGTTAGTGAAAGCCATATTAACCCATTGATATATAACAGAATCTATTAAAAATTATTTTTTTGAACATTTTTCAAAAACATTGTTTGGTTTTCGTTGCGGGTTAGATTTAATATTGGTTTTTGGATGTAACACTAGAACCGTTCGAGTATATAGGTCAAATCTAACACAATATAAGATTTTAATTTTTGGATCAATTCCGAGTCAAGTTTTTGTTATTTTAAATTACTACTAAAAAAATATAATATATTGTAAACTTTAGGAATAAAGTTTAAAAATAATTTTTGAAAGACATATGGCATATTTAATATAGTTACCAAAATTATATAAATTTAAGTTAACATTAAACACAACTATAACAATTAACGTTTCAAAAACAAAATATATACCTGTCATTTTAAAGAACGAATCAAAATCTAGTTAAAGTTTAAACACTACGATGTCAATAACATTTTACCTTTCAAATGATTTGAAGAAATTCTTTTTATGAATAAAATAATGATTTTTTTCCGCGGTACAAAAGGTTATATATTAAACAAAAAACAAAAATCTAAAAAAGAGGAAGTCTCATCTTTGGTTTGATCGTTTGCATCTTCTGAGAAATTTGTTGGTTGGTTCCTCTGTTTCTTTTCTATTTTGCATTGGAATTTCCTACATAATTTCTCAGATGTTTCTTTGATTCTCTCTTTTACCTACTCTTAAGAGTTTTCTTTTCTTTTCTTTGCAATGAGATTGTATCCTCTGCTTCTTCACGAAGATCATGGCAAAGGAGAAATCAGACTACTCTGAGAAGTTCGAGGGTAATGGGGAAAACAAACCCGCTAGGAACAAGTCTTCCACTGATTCGTTAATAAGTCTTGGCTTTGATGGATCATCATCATCTGTCTCTTTTTTCTCTCAGGTTTGAATTAATCAACTAGGGTTTTGTTTGATTAGTGATAACACTTTTTCTTTTGCTTCTACTTCTGATTTTATTGGACTGACTTTGCCTTAGATTGATTTGATCACTATGCTGGTAAAGCTTAGCTTAATGATAAATTGGTATTTGACTACGAAGTTAGGTTTGTAGCTTTGGATTGTCTAGTAAGGAACTAAAGGTTATGAAGTTGACCTAGTAGATAAAAAGTATTTGATTACGAAGTTTGAGAGGATTTGATTTGTATAACCTTTGATAAATAGAACAGTGATTTGCAAGTTTATCTCTCATATTCTTAAAACCGGAAAATTTGTATTAATGTTATGATTTAATAATGTAGATTCTCTGTTTTCGATTTCAGCGGAGTAGCATTCTTGCTGAAAAAGAACGAATGCACCAAGAATTCATTGAACAGGCTATTGCCTTTACCCAAGGCATGGTTGTTCAACCATACACTTCTCCTAGAGGTCATAACCAAGGGAACGAGTTTGCACCACGGTCCCATGTCAGTACCCAAAACCAACAGAATTCATACAAGAACCAAAATGTTAGCTATCATCCTCATCAAAGTCACGGAGGCAGAGGCAGACAGAATGAAGAACATGTGAAGCAGAAATGGAATCCTCAAGGACACTTTAATGGGCAAGGCGGATTCCCACCTCCACCAAGAGAAGGCACACCAGCATTTGTAAGGCCACCACCATCAATCTATGCTCAGCATATTCCAGTTCAACAGCTTTTTTATCCTATACCGTTTACTGGTAAGTTAAACTGAAAATATCAACCTTTTATTTTATTTTTGTTTGTTTTTGCTAACGCATATATATGTTTCACTTCTTAGACTTGCCACCACCGATGATGTATTATTCACATCGTGTTCCCTTCATCGAGCCTCATGCTGCTTTGTTTCCATCTCAAAATCCTGACGGCATGCCGTCCATCGAGCCTTCTCCTTTCTTGGTCCCATCTCAAAAAGCTCCCCTGAAAACCAAGATACTGAATCAAGTTCAATATTATTTTAGGTAATACTATCCTTTTCACTTCAATACAGATTATTTTTGTTGTTTACCACTTTGAAAATGTCCTTTAATTTTTTTTTTTTTATCCTTTTGTAGCGAGGATAATTTACCAAACGATGTATACCTTCGCAAGCGCATGAATGATGAGGGCTTTGTTCATATAGAGTTTATCGCTGGTTTCAATAAGGTAAAACTTATATAATTATGTTTTTGTTTCGTGTTGGTTTCGTTGATATTCACATACACTTTGTTTAATTTTCTCTGCCTTGTACTTATATGTATTGTTCCTTTGCATTTGTATCTTTATCAGCTTAAAGCACTAACAAGTAATGTCCAGCTTATATTGGATTCTCTACGAGATTCATATATCGTTGAAGTGCAGGTATTTCTTTTAATTTTCTACTTAAAAAGATACTAGATTTTGATCTACACATTCCTGTGGATTTTTGTTTCAACTTTTAAAAACATTATGTATATGTTTATTGTATATAAATATTATGATATCATCATCGGATTATTATTTATATTATATGTTATTTTGCTTTTTGTTGTATATTAATTATATACAGTATTGAATCCTGTTGCTTTGAATTCTCAAACTTTGAACGCTTATAAAATTATCAGTCATATGATAAGTAAGTAACTATTTGAATTATTATTTAGTTTTAAGTCAATTTTATATTATTTATGTATATTAATATTTAACCTTTTGAAAATAGAAATTATATATAATATAAACGGTCTAGTTATGTTTTGATAGAGAAAAATGATATATTTAATATTTACGAAATAATAAAATAATTTTATAGTGATTTAAATTATTTGTATTAATTTGTATAGATACAATAAACTACAGATAAAATTAATTAATTATTTACTCTAAGAAAGAATTGCTAAGACATATTGTCATTTGAAACAATCATTAAGGTTGAACATTTAATGAAATTAATTGCTTATATTTTTAAATAAATAATTTGTTATGAATAATTAAGAGATAATTGGCTAAAGTGCCCTATTTGGCACCTATAATTAGCGAAATATCCATGATTTGATTGATGCTTTTCGTCAGACGATTTTGCCCTTGCGTGTACTGATCACCTATTTTCGTAGACTAACGTGCCTACGGGTAGCCGTGTCAGAGCGCCACCCACGCGTGAGTTATTTCCCGTCAACCGTTCGGTTTTCCAGTGAAATCTCATGCATCCCTGTTTGTTTTCGAAATTTGAATTTCCTCATTATTTTCCATAATTAAGAAAATATATCCCACCACTCCGAAGAGTAACCTCCCTCTCTATTTCAACTTCCCATCTTCTCACTACGGTCAATCTGTTTTCTAAACGAAAAAGCAACCGACTTTGCTCTCAAAAATTCTCTAATGGCCGATCTCAACCTTCCTAGACGCTTTTTTGCATGTGGTGATGAACCCGTCGGCGACAGAGTCGTCTCTTACCACAAGTATCGAAGAACATAGCAACTCATTGAAGCATTAGACGAAGACGAGTTAGCCTCGCAACAATGAATTTTAACCGTTAATTTTTGTGTTTGCTAGTTTGTTGACATAAATCATATCAGTTACCGATGCTTCTATCTGATAACTAAAGCTTTTACCCAGAAACTTATTATTTACCTTACTGACTGTTTTAACTGATAGATCTTTTTCAGGTAAACCATATATTTACGGATAACTACTTTGTTTCCGGGAAAAATAGTTTTACCTTCGATACTAACTAAACCGCTGGCTGGAAGTGGTTGTTCAGCATCAGTTATTCCATCTTCAACATTCCTCTGCCTCCGGTAGTTGTAAACATCCTGTCCACCCAATGTCACATACATCTCCTGCCACATACATCTTCAGTTTGCACTTCAAAGTTAGTTTCCTCTGATACTCTTATATTCCCTCCTGTTATTAGTGCACCCGCCTGGGTAAGAGGGATGTCAGAAGAGCCCTCTGAAGAGTCTATGTTTATGGTCATTGTTGGGTCAAGATGTTGATCATTGGCGCCATACCCCAGGGACGTTTGCTCCAGTATGATCATTTCATTCGGCGTGCATATTCCCCTAAGTATTTCCTTGTACACAACCAGTTACCCTCTCGCAGTCAAATCTGTTAACATAAATCATATCAGTTACCTCGCAACAATGAATTTTAACCGTTAATTTTTGTGTTTGCTAGTTTGTTGACATAAATCATATCAGTTACCGATGCTTCTATCTGATAACTAAAGCTTTTACCCGGAAACTTATTATTTACCTTTACTGATTGTTTTAACTGATAGATCTTTTTCAGGTAAACCATATGTTTACGGATAACTACTTTGTTTCCGGGAAAAAATAGTTTTACCTTCGATACTAACTAAACCGCTGGCTGGAAGTGGTTGTTCAGCAGCAGTTATTCCATCTTCAACATTCCTCTGCCTCCGGTAGTTGTAAACATCCTGTCCACCCAATGTCACATACATCTCCTGCCACACATTGTCCACCCTAACCGCCATGAACACAGCCACATCTTCGTCCTCGTTTATTTCGATGGGTGGTGCTGAGTAGTCCTCAGGCTCTGTTTCAAGGTCTGGGTAGTGGTAAGTCAGCAGCACATGAGCGTTTACTCCGTACAGGTAGTCTACGTTGAACTTTTCCCTCACCATACCAAGAAGTGAGATGAAGCTTTCGTTCTCCTTCAGCTCCACGTCACCTCTTACCATGGTTTTATCCACGTTGAACCTCCATGCGCCTTGCGCGCCTCTTTCCCAGTCTCCAACTACGAGACGAACTTGGTGTCTCATCCTCCAAACCTGTTTCGGTGTAACAATAGATTTATCAGAAACTCTAACCTTTTCAGGAAATCGAACTTCCTTTGCAACAGAGGATATATACGAATAGCTATGAACTTACACTCCGAGTGAAACCGATTTCTGTCTCTTGAGTTTATCTTCTTCAAACACCAAATCACAGCTTTCGTTCTCCCTCTTTCTCTCCCACTATTTTTTTTGTTCTGCTAACTAATCTTTTACCCAACTCTACCTTCTTTTATCTTCAAATTAGCATGGTATTACGTACACTTATCTCTTTCGAGGTAGCTTAGGGTGTTGCGCTTAATCTGCAAGCCCGGTTAACCGAGGAAACATGTGTTTTTTTAGTTGCACAGCTGTCGTCCTAGGTTTCAGAATAGAGTAGCCCCCTATTAGAATCGGCGTGGATATCTTGTGTCACCCGGCTGACACAAGCGCCGAAAATCAAATCGTTGGTAGGAGGGTATTTTGGTCTTCTCGTCGCTGTGAGGGTATATCTCGGGCCCTATATGTCAATCAAAGGTTATTTGTCTAATTTGGGCCTCGATTTTGGGCATTACACTAAATCTCTCAATAATTAATGCTAAGAATTATTATTAATGGGTTAATGAAAATTTTAAATAAAAAATGATCAGTTAGAGAATATTTAGGTAGATAGATAATTAATGATAATTTTAAATTAAAAACTTTAATTAAAAGATTTTTTCAAAAAAGAAAAAACTTTAATTAAAGGAAGTGACACAAGTTGGTAAATACTAAAAAAAAAGTAAGGGTGAAGTCATATGGATATTTCAACTTTAATAAGATAGATTTGTTAAAATAATTAATGCTAAAGTTATGATTAATGAGTTAGTGATAATATAAAATAAAAAGTGATCAGTTAAAGAATATTTAGGTAGATAGAAAATTAATGATAAATTTCAATAAAAAAAAACTTTAATAAAAGGAAGTGGTACAAGTTGGTAAATACTGAAAAAAAATTAAGGGTGAAGTCATATGGGTACTTCAACTTTAATTAGATAGATTTTGTGTACACAAGCTTTTTTTTATTTTCATTTTATTTAGTTTGTATTTGACTACACAATCTGTTTCGTATTTGTTTATAGGGCTATGAAATAAGAAACCGGCATGTCTGGAGAAAATACGTAATGCCTCACGACTGGCGGGTTACTTTTTACCCGAGCCCAGAATATTTAGTGGCTAACAACCATCAAAACATGCAGCTCGAGCAGAACTAAAGAAATGGGATCAAGTTGAAGCAATCAAAAAGCTTATAATAATAACACCACAGTTGGTTGTTCAGATCTAAGTTGAAGGAACTTTTGCTTTTGCATAGAGATGATTGTTGGATTTATCTGAAGCTACAACATTTGGCATATGATGAAAATTAACATTTTGTCTGTACAGAAACAAATATTAAAAAACTGAGAAAACTATGGTTGCAAGAAGGATTCAAAATCGTCTCCAATTCATTCGGGTTGAAGAAGTTTTTTTTTTTTTTTTTGGAATCCTAATTCTCTGATTCTCCCAAATCAGTTTTGATTCTACTAAAGTTGGTATCTATCTTATTAAAACTGAAGCATTACAACTTCATCTAGGTGGGTTTTTAAGCTGGACCTCATATTATTAATCTATAGTCTACTAATGTTATAATATTATTGTTACTCTACTCTAATCTTTACACATTTAATTATAGTTCACTATTGTTTAGGAAGTTAGTGCTGATTCGTATCTTATAATGATTTGGAACATAAATTTAAAACACCTTCTTATTAGTTAAAAAATCTTCAGTATATTCTTCTTCTTTTAAATCAGAAAATCTCGGTTACATTTAAACCTCTTGATTCGCTATTAATCATAAAGCATTATATCAATAGATATTAACAATTCTTTATTGAATTATCCCTTCTACAAGTCAACTACTTTGCCTAGAATCACGTTTATCTACTAAATCTCTTGGTTTGATATTAATTATAGAATAATAATTAGTTTCCTGAATTGTTGGAGAGTATATTTTCTTCACGCGAAAACCTAAACTAGATTGAGGAGTATATATAGATATTCTCATATCAAACATTCGCCATTCACTATCACTGAGAAGAAAATGACAAAATGAAACACTTTTGTATTCCTTAACGGTGTTAAACCTTATAGGGAGAATTGGCAATTTCGCGTAAAGGTTCTTCATTCTTGGAAACAAAACACTAGTTATGGAGGCAACACATCATTGCTGATGAAAATGTAAGTAATCGAAGTTTTATTGTTTTTATAATTCTCATTTTCTAATCAATATCTTATTCAATTTTTCTTTGTTTTATAGGGTGTTAAGATTGCAGCATTTTGTAAAATGAATCAAATCTATCAACTGAAGCGAGTTTTGTCTGTTGGGGAATATAAACACTTTTCCTGCTTCAGAAGTAAAATGACATTATCGCCCAACAGTTCATCAATACAAGTTGACTTTGGTAGTGAAACAGTGGTATCAGATTGTGATAATCGTTCAGGTAATCATTTTGTTTCTCTTTCAAGTTATGATGATTTAAGGAATATCGATCAACAAAATTTTTTTTGGCTTAAAGGTATGCAGCCATAATCATATAGTTTGTTTACAACATAAATGATGAATACTCTGAAAACGTTCTCTGTTCTTTTGTCATAATAAATTATTTATTGTTTTTACATACAGATGTTATTGGACAAGTTGTAGATCTAGCTGAAATTCAAACTGTTCAAGTTATGGGGAAGAACACGAAAAAGCTCAATTTTGTTTACATGATTTCAGGTAAAATACAGTGATTTTTATAGAAATTCGTTCTTCTTCTGTATACTTTGATATGTATATATATAGTTATTAACAAACCGTATATTTATTTGCGTTTGAAATTGGCAAAAATACAGCGGTGATGAAGTTGTGTGTTGCTTGTGGGGCAATTATGCCGAGCAAGTTGAGACGCATTTCGCTGATTCAAACAATAAAATGGTTATTTGCTTGATACGGTTTGCCAAGATCGGTTGGTATAGATGTATAGCTTCTTCTCTTATTCCTAATTTATGTATTATTGAATTCTTTTATTGAGGTTACAAAATTTTGCTCTCTATATAGGTGAAGTACAAGTCAGCAATGCTTTTGATTCTTCAATCGTGGATATCAACCCAAAGTTTGAAGAGGCCATTGAATTTACAAAATAGTAAGTTGATATCTTTGAAAGTTATGAAGTTTCTCCCTGAATTTAGTTGATTAGTCTTGATTGGGATATGAGCTAATTTTTGTGCTTGATCCAAATATTTTGGGAACCCGGGGACATTTTGTCTTTTTGTAAGGGTGTAATTATATGACTATTTTGTGGCTTTTGATTGGGGCTAACGGGTAGTTGGTTTGTTAGCCTTGTAACTTGTGTCCTGGATGTTCCAGAAAGTTGATTTATCTAACAGATGAAAAAAAAAACAATCAAAACAGGCTCAGTGATCTTTCATTCAACAAATAAGTTGCTTTTAAGAGCATCTTCATTGGTAAGTATTCTACATTGACCCATTGACAAAAGAACTATTGTCAATATCCTACCAAAATTCTAACTATCCCACTATATTTTTTTCTCTCTTTATTACCCTTAAATAATATATTATTATCTTATATACTGCGGTTCTCATGCAATATATTCTATTTTTTAATTTAAAAAACAGACCCCGCTTCTAAATAAAGTTTCAACTTAAAGACAAACCAAACAGTCGATCCCACACTAATCCATATCTCTCCTTCCGACTGCTGTCCCTCTCGGCTCCTTTCTCCCATCTTGTTCTCTTTTCCCCAATCACCATCGAACCTCTTCTCTCTTTCTTAGTGAACTTGGTGATTTTGAAGCTTTTTTGAGGTAAATTCATACGTTTTTCACGAAATTTTCATAATATTATACTACTTATGTTCTGTGTGTTATGAGTAACGAAAAATATCAACGTATTTCTGCAAAAATCGTGAGAGTTTTCAAAGAAAAATGAAAATAATGTTTGTAGAAGTATCTGTATTTTTCTCTATTTTTAACACGGTTTTTGAAAGAAAAAAACATGAAGATGGTGTTAGATGATAATGTGGGTTGTGTAACACGTTATTAGTTGATTAAAAAGACTTAAACCGATGAAAAACTAAAGTTTTAGTGAAAAATGAAAGTTTTAGATATATTGTAATGAAAAAGGATGTTTAAGGGAGATTTTGTATATTTCTTCTTATTTTGCACTGTTTTAAACCAAAATAATGCATTACAATAGTGGTAGACGATATTGTGGGTTGTATAACACCCTCTTGGTCAATTAAAAGTGTTAAATTGACAAAAGCAAAAATTTATAAGAACTACTGGTATTACTAAAGTGAAACGTGTATTACTTGTATTACTATCACTACAAGAAAACACAAGTTTTACTAGGACGACTTTGCCTCGTAATTTCCTAGTAAAGGACCCGTTACTAGGAAATTACGAGGAAACGCATTTTGTCATAACACGTCCATCGTAAAGTCTTTTTCCTCGTAAGTTCCTAGTTAATTTACGAGGAAACGTTTCGTCGTAAACGCGTGGATACTTATTTCGTCATAACGTCCTCGTACAGATTTCCTCGTAAAATCGTAGTAACTAGTTTCCTCATAAGCGCGTCGTAACGCTTTATGAGGAACTTACTTCGAAATGTTTACAAGGACTTTACTTTGAAATGATTACGAGGAATTTACTTCGAAATGTTTTTCCGTATTAAAAAATAATAATTAAAATAAATATAATTAATATATTTTAAAAAAATTAAAGAAACCAAATTATAAATAAATAAAAATAAATAACAAAATATTTTATAAATAACTAAATATTTAAGTTTTAAATTCATAATATACAATTAAAAAGAAAAAAAAACTAAACTACGGATGCTGGTCGTCAAATAGACGAACGAAGTCGTCATCCCGGCTCGCTAACTCCTCCTCGTCCATGTTGGTCATCGACGGTTGTGACTGTGACGGT